TAAATCCTTCAAAATATTAAACATCCAAAGGACAGCGAATCTACTACGATTTGCTGAAGCAATTGCAATCAAACGTCACAGACCAAACTTATGCATACAGAAAGAGAGTGTGCTCAATCTCTCACTCCCTTGGTAACCATATCACTTTCATTACACTGATTAGTCATACACACTAGTGAGCTCATCTCACTAAGCAAGTTTTCAAATTGATGAACCTTGACCTTCTTGAATTGCTATGTTGACACTGTTTATTAGATTTTTCTGTTTTCTGTCTTCTCTCACCCCCCTTCTTTTTTTTCTTCTTTCATAATTTGATAGTATATAAATTGATGGTGACTTAGATTATAATACTTATATTCCAGATGCGTTCACCTTATAACGTTTTCTCTATTACCTTTCAAACAATGAAGTATGGAATGTTATTATTTATAACCACGGAAATTCAGGTAGTTTGCAGCTGATGAGAATCTGTGAAATAGAATGATATCATTTTATACTGCAAATCTGGTCTTTCTTTCTCTATCAAAATAATTGAGAAGCTTTCGTCGTATTTCTGGATGACGGCATCTTCAGCTCAGGTTTCCCATACTAAAATCTACAATTTAGAATGTTGTCTAGAAAGGGCGACGACGAAAGCTTCTCAACTAAATCAACCAGTTCAGAGACCACAATTAACTCAAAAATGGAGACGCTTTGTTTCAGTTAATCTTGTAACAGCAGAAGACAAGGGCCAGGCAACAGATCGTTTACTAAGGAACTCAACACGTATTTATAGATTTTCATTACATATTATAGATTCTTGTTAGCAAACAAACAGTCTTCTGATTGGTTGTTTCTCACTGAAAGTTAACCTTGCATCTCTTTGTGGCTGTTTCTTGAATGTCAGATCATCTATATGTTAACTGTATCCGCGTACGCAAAGCCTTTGTTCTCATTTTTCTCTCGACCAATATTGGGGACATAAACATTGACGTAAATTACTGTCCACCGATTTTGACGTTAGTCACCACACTCCAACTACATCACTTGTAATAATGATGTATTTCAGTAATCTAATTTAAGTAACTTTTTTCTTTTTCTAATGAAGCTGAGTTTCTTTATTTTTTTTCCAAATGACCAGTTGTTCACGCCAGACAGATCATGACTAAAGTTAAAATGGACATCTGGGTCGTGCTAGGATCATAACCAGACACATGCGAATTATATACTTGGCTATCTAATGAATGAACTATTAGAACCTACTGCCAACTGCATCATCACTGTCTATCTGTCTGTCTGTCTGTTTTCGACATAGAACTTTGCACCGATGTGCAGCAGCTCAAGTCGCCACACTCCATGTACCACACAAAGCAAGAGGAGAAGGTAGAAGAAATGCATAATAGAGACAGTAAACAGAGGTGTGTGACAAAAAAGGATAGTAATATCCAAAAACAATATAGTTTCAATGGAAATTATAAGTCACAAGGAGTGGATGCATCTGCGTTAGCCAATGGAAACAATTTCGAGACTTATCAGCAATTGTTTCCAGCCAGTGGTTTTGACCATCCCGAGGACCGAAACAGCTAGTCAGGAAGTATACACCTTCCTACGTGGCTGGCTGGCTCAAACTAACTGTTGTGGATTTCATTGACTTTTGCCATGTTTTGGTTTGACTGCCGCTAGTTGTTTTCCAGCCTGACCCTATGTCAGTCAGCTAACATTTCCCATTGTTGAGGAAGGCGATGACTAGGCATACGTAACACATGTCCTAACCATCTCAATCGATGTAATTTCACAGCCTCGTCGATTGATTTCTCCTCCTTACCTAGCACTTTACCCGTGCCTAACCTCAATACTGCTCACCTTATTATACCACTTCATTTCAACCTACTACACCTACCTTGAGAAATGCGAAACTGTCATATGTCCTCACTAGCTGCCAACCTAGATCCCTTTCGTCTCAATCTTAACATGATTGATTGACTGAGTTTCCGCAAAGAATTCAGTACAGAAGTGTACCAGTTCAAGTTAGCACACCCTTTGTAATGCACAAAGGTAAAGAAAAGAGAGAAAAAAGAACTGTAGTAAATAACACGGGAAAACACTACGGGCTCATAGAAATTGCGGATCACAAGGAGTGAATGCATCCGCGCCATTGAGAAGAATTTTGAGTCATATCATAAATAGTCTCCAGGCATAAGTTCTTAGAATCCTAAAGACGTCATCTGGGCAGTGTACACTCCCTTATTTAGCTAGCCTAAACCAACTGTCAAAGATTTCATCGAATGATTATTCCAGATCGTGATTCGACCATTTCCAACTGTTTTCAAATCTCATTTGATGTCGAGGAAGGTAGTGGTTCAGCATGCGTAACGTGTGTCCTATTCATTTGAAGTTTCGTAACCTCACCTATTGACTTCTACATTTAACCTCAATATTGCACATCATAATATACTCATTAACATGGCAGATACAACACAGACATGTGTCGTCAAAGATAGCTAGTGTTTTCGTGTCATCCACTTTCAATGACCATGTTTCACAGTCGTAAAGAGCGAACTTCTATGGAACACACACAGATCCTTTGACGGATAGTCAGATGAAGCAATTTGTTAGTCACCACACTAGCCTTTTGTATCCACGATGCGTTTTGTCTGCAATCATTCCATTAGGGTTACTGACACAACTTCCTAAATAGGTGAAGTCGTCAACACACCCTATTGTTTCACTTCCTACCCATAAGCTAAGAGTTGGCTTAATCTAATCCTACAACATCATCTTACATTTCACAAGAACTAGTCGTGAATCTTAATATATTAAGCTAGAAGTAGGAAAGCCTGTTTTTAATGGATGGCAAACACACTGCAATGTTAAAACACTCACATAACTGTTGATCATTGCCTGTAGTGATTTTAGTCAACTGATGACCTGGTTGACAGGTACTAAAGCGTCAAACTAATTATTCAAATGCCGCTGATTGAAGTCCTGTGAAAATTGTATATCTTTTTGCCTACATCTATCACCCACCACAATTATAGTCCGCTAACTGATGATTATCTCAAGTGGTCTCACAGTCAACCATCGCTATTATCGCCTTGGGATCTGAAGGGAACAAACATAAAGCTTCAAAAGCAATTTGTCATTTCGCCCTGTTCTCTGCAGGCACTTTTTGTTAGCTACCTCCACGACTTCGCATAAACTTTCATTTCCTCCCTTGGACGTTGAATGCCCCACTTGGGTTCCACTCGATGTTCTTCTTAGCGTGTAATGTCAATCAATGTTCTCCTAAGCGTGTTTCCTGTCCGTCATCTTTTTCACGGTGTTAAAAACAGAAAATATTTGTAGCTTCTTGACACATATAAACTAACTAGCGGAGGGAATAAAATTCACATTTGAATCAGAAAATAAACAAGGAGGATTAGCTATGTTAGACTGTAAAATAAAACGAATAGAAGAAGGTAAACTGCACACTAGTGTTTACAAAACACCAATGAATTCCGCTAAGAGATATTAAGGCTTTAATTCATCTCATCCATTAACTGTTATGGCAAGCTTAGTTAAGTGTCTAACAAACCGAGCCATAGCACTAAGTGACACAGAAAAGACCAAAATGAGGAAGTGAAACAGATAGAAGAGGCGTGGGTATTAAATAACTATCCTATAAAATTTATTAGGAAGATCAGTAAAGGCCAAAAACAAAATAAAAAATAATTGTGAAACTAGTAATGATGACGTAAATAAGAGAGAATATAAGTCATCTACTTTTATACTATATAAGGAAGGGACATCTGAAACCCTACGTAGGATTCTTAATAAAGCAGGAATTAAGTTGGTGGCAATCAAACCTACAAACTCACCCAGGGACAAGCTGTGTAGGTTAAAGGACCCTGTTGAGTCAATTAAACAAAATAATATTATTTACAAAATACCATGCAATGACTGTGAGTTAGGTCAACTACATAGGTCAAACTAGTAGATCGGGTTTAATCAGATTGTTGGAACATAAGAATTTAGCTAAGGTAAGAACGGCTGACGCCGAAAAGATAATTAATTTAGAAAAAAGCTCAGCAATCGCACTTCACGCATTAACACACAACCACACAATAGGGTGGGAGAGGGTTAAGATTTTAAAACGTGATCTAGATATTTTATATTTTTTATATTTATATTTTATATTTTTGATTACAGCTTAATTCCATACTGTATTTTGGTTCAAGTATGGAATTTTCAGCATGGATATCGGTAGCCCAAATTTTGCAGGCCGACCATAGATATCAAGGTGTGCGTCGGCGTGAGCTCGAACCCCGGACCATGTGCATGGTCGGCGAGAGTCCTAACCACTGTGCCACCGACGCACAGAGAGAGAGGTTGATTACTGAATCCCGCCTGGTTCACTGAGTCTACACCCGACGCAACAGATGCAGCAGAAATGACTCAATGCAAATACCAGAAATGTGAAAGATTTTATTACTGCCGGTCAAATCAGACGAGGATAAAAGATAATCTCGAAATTCTATTTCAATTCACGTACATCACAACATTCTAACAAGTTACTTATTATGACTATAAAATCACTCGTCTTATTTCCCGTCTGATTGTAATTGATCAATAACACTCATATTATTATTTCTGAATGTACGTTATCCCATATTGATTTTTTATTTAAATTTGTAGTCAATTCCACATATGTATATAAATGAAGCAAGAAAGTTGTGTGAGTGAGTTAGTGACTTGATATGATTATGAGTGGCAATAGTTTGTGCTCGAAACGTGGTCATCAGTTAATATTGCTGTATAACACACTGTGTGACGTATCAAAATAAAATCTTATGCATAATGGAGTTATACTCTACCATCACAGTGGCCAAGTTTTGTACTTATACCGTCTTCACTTCTTTCTGCATTATCAGTTTCGAAATGGGCATCCGTTTTAAGCAACAATAATAATAATAATAATTTATTTTTTGACTTCATAATTACTTATGGAAATTTCATCCTCATATTCTTTTTATATTATTTAGATTTTTCTAGCTGTTTCTATTGCTATCATGGATGTCAGTTATCGTAAAATAGCTGTTTGGCTTACAGATTTAGAAAATCATCGCCTGGAAGATGATTACAACAATTATTACGTGATCAAATTGATATTGGTATGTTCTGGGGGGGAGGGGGGAGGGGAAAAACTCCCCCTTTCTTTTTTGGTTGTGAATTCCATTGTCTCTTTCATTGTCTTGAATTTTCTGTATACGAATTAATTCTTATTAATAAGAGTAGAATTTATGCGTGTTTGGTTCAGTGGTAGGATGTCGGCCAGCCACGCACATTGTCCATGTTTCGATCCCCAGCCATTCACTCCTAAAGCCCCGATAATAAGCCCGGTAAAAGAGGTGATGAAGATTTCTGGCCAACACCAACAGACAACGATCAGCCAGTATAAATGGGAGGAACCTGAAAGAAACAACCTCCCTTACCTACCTACCTACCTACCTGGGAAGCATCGTCTCAACTACAGGTGGACGGAACTGACGAGGATATCAAAGCAAGACAAGCTTTCATTACTCCTAAGTCAGTGTGGAGGTCAACAGCACTATGCATAAAAAATAACATCCGGATTTTCAACTCTAATGTAAAGCCAGTCAGTGCTACTTTATCGATCAAGGACTTGGCGCGTCATAAAGAGCACCTCAAACAAACTACACACCTTCATCAACAGCTGTTTTCGCTCAGTACCACTCAAGATCAGATGGCCAGAAAAGATCAGCGACAGGTATCTCTGGGAGCGAACCAACACAGCAGATAAATTGGCCATACTCTGAGGAAACCATCAAGTGACATTATTAGACAAGCCGTCGAGTGGCGAGTCAGTCGTCCAAGAGTGACGTGGAGGAGGTCATGTGGAGAGGAGATGAAAGCGTGTGGGCAGACTTGGAGTGGGATGGAAACTCTAGCAGAGAACCGAACGCAGTGGAGACTTTCGGCTGAAGCCCTATGTTCCTCTAGGAATTAAGGAAAATAATAATAATAAGCCAGGTAAAAAGGGGACGTTGTGTGTGAGAAGCTAGCAACCTTACCCCGTAAAAAAAGGAATAATACCACTGCTACCGAAGCCTTACGTTCCACTTGGAATGCAAAGGAATAAAAAATATGAGTAGGTCTTGGGTGATCCACCAGAATATAATCTTATGTTAGATGCAGTATTTTGACGAGCACATTTTTACTAGGCGTAATTTGTTCAGTGTATCCACACTATCTCTCTTTGATATCACGTCTTTGTGTCAGACTAAGGGAAATATGTTTCATTCATTTTCATTTTACTCAGTGTTTAATATTTCATGGATTATTTCATCATGAGCTGACATCAGTTAGAGAACCACTGGAAAACCAACTGGGAGTACTGGACAGCTGTTTCGTCCGTCTAGTTCGGGACTCTTCACCAGTGCGCACCCACTGCCAGGGTTCGAACCTAGTAACTTCTGGTTACAAGGCCAGGGAGCTCGTATACCATAAAGCTACTGGGACCTGATTCAATGGCCAGCCCATGAATTCTAACTTCTGCCAATTCACGACATAGCGTTACCATTTCGCAATGTCTTCTTCGATGAGTTACTGCCTCATCTTGTTTAATATTTGACTGTCGAATCAACATAGAATATTATACAGACGTGACTGAGTTCAAGTTGTTACACCTAAAAAAAGCGCACAGAAAGAGGGAAAATATACTGTTTTTCCTTTCTTTTGCGTTGTGAGGGGAAAATAAAACTTAAAGCCTCAGCTTTGAAGTTTCAGTAGAGGTGATATTTCATACATTTATTCCCGTTAATAAATTTGAACGAAGCAAGAACTACAGTTTTAGCATAATAAATTGGTACCGTCTTTTATTTTGATGCCTTCTCGTCAGCTGCTTACAGGGCAAAGACATTATTAAATATATCTACAAAAACAATTTCAGCATACTTGCATATATATATATATATATATGCAATACTAAACACTATTCCGAACAATAATAATTATACACAGTGGAAACGTTTCAGCATTACGCATTCAGATGAAAGAGAGATGAAAGTATCCAGTTACCAGGTTAGCAAAGAAAGACTGATAACCGCTTCTTTCTGGACGCATAAATCAGGTTTCAGTCGCTTGATGGAAATATCTTCAGCAAACTTGAGGAGAATCAAGCTTTTTTGTCTGTTGATAATTTTGAACGACTTTTCGATGTCTCCACCTCATCACTCGCGTCAAGGAGATGCCTGGCAATGGCACTGTTCAAATCATTTGTTCCCTTTCGACATAAGCTTTTTGGTATATGTTCAGAAAATCGTAGATATGCCCTTCTTTCTGCCCTTCCAATGTAACTGCTCCCGCAGACATTGTTGTAGTTATAGCTAGTTGCTAGCCTCAACGCCCAAAACTTCCTTCCTTGCTTTTCGTGTTCACTACCTGCTAGTATACTTGGAGAAATTTTTGGAGTAGATCGTCCGGGAATCATAGCCTCGTCTGGCTGGCGGTGGACAATATACCATCAAGCCATCGACACAAAATCCTATTGTCAGTTTCCATTATTTTATGTTACTCAGTATACAATTTTCTGAAAACTCTAGAAAAATGTTGAATTACGCCTGAAGTATGCAGCTTCTAAATATTTGAAAGAGTCATAGGAGATTGAAATAAAAGCCTTAAGAAGACAGTGTGAATCACATTATAGGTATTCTCTGTAATAGTTTGTTAAGTTGTTGTTTTTGTTCAGGATTGAAACTGATAATCTAACACTGATGAATAAGGCACTGGACAATTCAAGGGGAACCTCTGTTCACTTTTGGTTTGCCCCACCGATAGCTGCTACGTTGACAATGGTGGTCGGGCTTGCACATCGCGATGACCCAACAAGCTGCGCTGGCTGGAACCAATGTTCCTGCAGGTCCTACTATGCCAAGAAGGTTGTTAGGATAGCGATTAGACTAAAAGCAGTTACCGGTATCGTGTAAGAATCTTTCTTACACTATGCTGGGGGTCTGTGGGCGAAGTCGTACTGCTGGGAAACAGGAGTGTAACATCAATGATGTGTTTCCCTCAGATGACCAGCATGCCAGCCAGTTATGCTGTCTCTCCACTCTGGGCGGAGGGGGTTAGAAAAGGTCTATCCCAACACAAGTGTACATACCGACTTACCCCACCTACCGTGGTCCGTAACGGGCGGTAAGTTTACTATTACGGAACCAATCCCAGAAACCAGTCCATACAGGCCGTATGTGACCAGCCTCAATAAGTTGTTCCCTGGGCTCTGCGGTCACGCAACACTAACCCTGTCCCTGTTTCAGGTACTCGAAGAATCAGTCAACTTCCACGGTGTGTGCAGCCGGGAAGTAACAACCGCCCACACACTTCCACTTCCAAAAGCACACAGACAGACTTTTGGTTTGATGAGTAAAACTGACCAGGGTGAACATTGCCAATTAGTTCTCAAACGTGACACTTCTAACTACCCTAACTAACCAATAGATTCATGTCTATTAAGACTGTTTCCAGTTCGAAATTTCCAAACTTCTATCACGTATATGATGATAATATATATACACGATAGGTTCTAGTATGGAGCAGATGCAGGTCACATAGTGATCTGTATGTAAGACAATTAACCGACAAAAACGTACAAAGTACAGGTAACCTTGGCGTTTCATTCTCTTTTTCTTATCATTTCTTGGTGTCATGAATAACACTCTCCTAGATAACCGCGAATCTTGTAGTTAATTAAGCCAAATATATATTCTACACCACTGTGGTGAGAGTTGGCTGTTAGTCAAAATTGGTGGATAGTAATTTACGTCAACGTTTATGTCCCCAATATTGGTCGTGAGAAAAATGAGAACAAAGGCTTTGCGTACGCGGATACAGTTAACACATAGATGATCTGACATTCAAGAAACTGCTACAAAGAGATGCATGGTTAACTTTCTGTGAGAAACAACCAATCAGGAGACTGTGTTTGTCTGCTAACAGTAATCTATAATAATGTACATGAAAATCTATAAATATGTGTTGATTTCCATAATAAACGATCTGTTGCCTGACCTTTGTCTTCTGTCGTTACACCACCGTAACAAGTGAAACACAGACAGAGGACTTTGTGATAACTTGAAGATTGTCACAATAGAATCTTGCAATGGTATTTGGTCATCTCGTCTACCCAATTCCTACATCACTTTTTTCGCGATCCAACTTTTTTTTAAGTGGAGCGACATTGACACTAGAGGTTTATATCCCATATAATTTTGATATTTGATGTTGTTGTATTCTGCCCTTTTTACATTTCATATTTTCACTGATTTCCTTTTTTATTTGATATTTCTCTTTTTTATTATTTTATAGCTTCAATTTGTCAATTCATTTTATTCCCTATTCTATACAGCATTTTATTTAAAAGATTTGGACTTACTAAGAAAGGTAAATTTCAGTTATTAAGTTATATACACATTTTTAAAAAATTTTTAATCAATATTATCAATGTGTATGCAAGTATGTTAAATGTTCAAGTTTAACAGACAGACTTGTGTTCCCTTTGGTAAATTTCAATAAATCAGACGAAAAAAAGAAAAAAAATATACAGTCTGAAACGGTGTGAATAATAATAATAATAATCTACTTTATTCCAAAAACAGTTCATATAATACAGAATGGAATTGTCAGCATTTGTCACAATATTGCATCTGATTTACTCAAAATATAATAAAATTAAAACAAAATTAACCAGAGGAATTTGTCCACGTTTACAATATAAAGTCAAAAATATTCGAAGCACGAATTGAGATCATTAAATATTAATAATAATAATAACAGTGAGTTTGTTTCAAACAGTATTGCCGATTCAGTTTGGAAACTTTAGCATGTTATAGATTATGAGATCTAATGTTCTGTTGATATAGCAGTATGGTGAGGGGAAATACAAGATTAACAGTTGTAACCCAGCTTAAACGATGTTCACACTTATGAAAAATAAATAAATAAAAGCAAAAAAATGAGAGGATTATAAATATAAGAAATACAATAACAATAACGTTTGGTACTGTAAGGGTGGAAGAAATGGTTTATTTAGTAGTGCAAAGAAAGTTAGTTAGCTCATGCCTGACACTATTTTCATCACATAAAGTAGGGGCTAAATATGGTATAGTGGAATTTTTATACTTAGACGTACGTGCATAAATTCTTCTGAAAAGACTTCTTGTTTTACCTGTGGAAGAGACACAAGGTTGGAGCTGCGGGTAGAGTGGGTGCTCACAGTCTGACAAAATTCCTTTAGCAAATTTGTTGCATGACATCAAGTGCCTATCAGTGACAATGTCAACGATATGGCCCAATGGGATACCACTCACCCTACTGACTTCCAGTCTTCAGAGTTCTACGAAATATGACATAGTCTTTTTTAAGCAATCCAGGAAAGAATAAGCAAGGATGAACAGTAAAGAAGAATAGGTAAGATGCAGGAGTTGACAAACTGTAAGAGGAGTGGTTGGGTTTATTCCTGATTGCCTCAACTTCTTAATGTAACAAGTCAGACGAAATATTCTTTTAGAAGTCGCTAAGACATGGGAAGACCAGGATAAGTAGGTCAGAAGAAAGAATTAATCCAAGATGCTTAACTTCAGACTTGATTTCTATATCAGTATCATCAATAGGTTAGTTTTTTACAGGTCCTCAGCATATTCAGACTACTTGAAAACAACAACGGTTATCGAAGAATGAACAATAAGCGTAATTCGGTGTCGGAATAATACAAGAAAGGAAACGTTATAAAATTAAAGAGACTAAAATGTAAACATCACATTTTTGAGATTAATTTATCCATTAATTTGTATGCAATGCAAAATAAGTAGTGTAAATGAAGGAAATAAGACAGAAAATTAGGTAAAATAATAATCTTTATTAGCCTAGATGGTAACAGTATATATTAGATAGATATCATCATTAGATATCATATAAAGACAGCACTCTAGGTGAACATAGACAAGAAAGCAGAAACATCCAGCGCCAATCACCATCAACGGGAGGGATTTGAAAGAGGATACTTCATTCACTCACTGATCTATGGAGCATTGTCTCAACTACAGGAAGTCGGAACGGACGAGGATGTCAAATCGAGTGAGAATCGGGAAAGCAACAAACGCACACATTTATCAACCTGAAACCAATCTGGAAATCCTCGTCACTCAGCATCAACAACAAAATTCGGTAGGATTTTCAATACAAACAACGTGAAGTCAGTTCTTCTTTACGGATCAGAAACTTGGCGGGTGGGTCACAAAGAGTATTTCCAACAGCCTGTTGCAGACCTTTATCTACAACTACCTGTCTTCGCTGGCTCTATACTGAAGATCAGATGGCTGGGCCGGAAAGAATCACCAACAAGAAACTATGGGTGTGAACAGAAGAAACGAGAACCAATCGTCAACCAATAAATATGCAGGAGAAAGTGGAGATGGATTGGACACTCGCTCGCTGAGGAGTCCGCTGGGTGACATCGCGCGCTCGTCAGGCCATTGCTCGAGTGGAACGAGGCCGAAAGGGAAGCGGCGAGTGGGTCGTCAGTGCAAGGGTGACATGTAGGAGATCGTGTGAAGGGGAGTTGAAATAGTATGGACTAACATGGATGCAGGTGAAAAGTACAGCAGAAGGAAGACGGAAGCAAGTGGAGACGTGCAGTTGAGTCCCTATATTCCACTAGGAACCCAAGGGAACAATAAATAAGTAGTAATTAAGTTATATATTTCGCGTACCACCACTCTCTTCACTCATCTTCTTGTCTACCTCTGTGTGCTATTTGGAACGTGGCAACTCGAACTGCTGCACTTCGGTGCCAAGTTCTATGTTGAATCCAGACAGACAGACAGTACCACCACTCTGTCAGCTACACTTATTGTGTTGGATGACTGATGATAACTGCCAAATCACCTAGGACGAAGTAGATGTAGTCGTGTCCGATGAGATGGCTAAGACGCATTTGGCATCTGCTAAGCCGTCGCTTTTCTTGACGAGCAGTACTAGCTGACATAGGCTTTGATTAGAAAAAATGTTAGGGGAATGGTCAAACTAAAGTATGCCAGCGGTACATGTAGTCTGTAGATGTTCCTACGTAGGATGTAGGCTGTCTTGTTTGGGATCTTATGAATGCTAAGAACTAATCGTCTGAGACTATTGATGATATGGCTCAAAACTGTTCTCTTTCTAACCTCCAAGATCCATTAAACCCTCATTTTTCCATATTACTATTCTTTCTCTCGTGCATTTCTGCCCATTGTAATGCTTTTGCATCTCTACTTTTGTGGGCTATATGGAATGTGTCAACTTGAGCTGGTGCACTTTTGTGCAACGTTGTATATTGACGCTCAGTCAGTTGGGATTCGCACCAAAGACTCACTGGCTAAAGTGAATCACTACAAACCATGAGTAAAAATTCCCCACAAATTGTTCAATAATCAATAGATGAATTATGAATTTATAAGCAAATAATAAGCAAAACGATACTTTCTGTAACTTTGTATTATCGAGAGATTGGTGTCAGGAGCTTTCATCTATTTATTTAAGTTACTCAGAAGTCGATACATCTCCTCCATGAAGCTAAAATTAGCTGTATGTCATTTTGATGTGGTTGTGTTCTCTGTGCTAGTAGGAAGGTAGTTTAAGTTCCCACCCTTTATACACATACACGTTAGGGATAGAACTAGGGATCCTCAGCTTATACTGTCTGTTTCTGTGTCATCACAATGACTGCTGAGTTAGGTATTCTCCAACAAATCCTGTTCATACTGAATTAGTAGAAGAAGAAGAAGAAGTGGAGCAGGTTCTAAAATTACACATGAACAAACAATCAGGTATCATTCATCTACATGGTGTAGATGAGCATTACCTGTGGTGACCGCTGACTGAAACAATGATACTGTTGGTGAGAAATAAACGCTAGTTACAAGTTTGATCACTTAGAGAACCAATACAAAAACCAGTAGGGAGTACTGGACAGCTATTTTCTCCTTGTTTGGGAGTCTTTAGCAGTAAATATAAACCACTCCAACGTCAGGGATAGGACTCAGAAACTTCCGGTTATACTGAGAGCTCTTCGACCATTTAGCGACAACGAAAGAGAGAACCAAATAGCTCGTCAATGAATTCCAACTTCTACCAATTGAAAATGCATACAGCGACTACCAAACCCGAGCCTTGACTAGTAGATTAATTGTCAAGTATTGGTTTTATAGGCACTTTGTGTTTGATCCCATGGAGGATTTCATCATGAGCTGACATCACTAAGAGTACCATTAGGCAACCAGAAAGGAGTACTGGACAGCTGTTTCGTCAATCTAGTTTGAAAGTCTTTATCAGTACGCACCCACCGTGGTTCAAAACCAGGACCTTCAGGTTACAAGTGACTGGCCCTATTCAGTCAGTTAACCCGAGGTTCTAGTGGGAAGCCGTGACCAGTAGACTACAGCAGGTCGAAGATGAGGCAATAACTCATTGAGGAACACATTGCTAAATAGTCGCGCTATGTCGTGAATTGGCAGAAGTTAGAATTCATGGGTCCCAGTGGCTCAACGGTCTACGAGCTAGCTCGCCCTGTAACCAAAAGGTCCTGGGTTCCAACCATGACGATGGGTGCGTACTACTGAAGAGTCCCAAACTACGACGAAACAGCTAACTAGTAGATTAGTTTCCAAGTTTTCCTTTACAGGGGATTCGATCGATTTCAATTCGAAGCACAGAACTAACATCATCAGTTTAGATAGTCACGTCGTATTTTATTTACCTAAATGGATCAGTAAATCGAAAGCAGCTGCTCATGTTACATTTCTTCATTGTACAGATTCTTATTTTCACACCTGTAGTACATTGAAATTTTATCTCTCACTTCTATTAAAAGTGTTAGCCTAAGTAAAAAAAAAGGTGTATGTTGTATCCTCCTTCCTTCCTTCCTTACAAAGTGTTAACACATTTTTTACCAATAACAAAGTATTAATGGATGCATATGGCTACTTATGAAGAAGAAGAAGAAGAAGAAACGAGACGCGAACAGAAATGGAGTTGAACATGATTTAAGTGAAAGAAGAGGCATGACATAGTCCAATTAGGATAAATATTGTAAATTTGCACAATAAGTCTCTCACACACACATACAGACGCGCACACATTAAATTAGTCAAATGTTTTTAGGTCGTGTATGCTAACAACTATTCTTCTTTCTATAGGCCTTATTATCTCATATATGATTTAATCATAAATGCAAAAACAACAACAACAACAACCAAAGAAATTATACATACCCCTTGTTACGTAACACAGTGTAAAGTACAAAAAACACGATTGAAATGAATGGAAACAACGAGGGAAGAGTTTGTAGTAGAAATAAGTTTTAATGCACAGGTACACACACACAGGCAAATCACATGATGTAAGGAAACAGAGTGCTACTCTTCCATTTTATTAACACTATTGGAAAATGTAAGCTTGAGGAACATTGAAAACTAACAGGGAATATTGGACGGATGCTTCGTCCTAGTTCGGGACTCTTTTATAGGTGCACATCCACTCCCTGGGCTTCGAGTCCAGGACCTTCTAGTTACAAGGCAAGCTCGTAAACTATTCAGCCACTGGGATGGAATCCAGTTTCCCAGGAATTCTAACTTCTGTCAGTTACATGATTTAAGCGTGACAACGAGCCAAAGTCATATGTGAGTATTTGTTTTCAATTGGTTTCTGACCGACATCAACTCATAAGCAAACTTGGAATAAATCAAATGCCTACAAACTAAATCTTGTTAGTTAATTTGATGCTAACTAGTGACTGACTACAGGGCGAAGTTACCAGAAGTCTGTTATGAACTCGTCGCCAATATGTTATACTGTGACCGAGCGTAAATATGCGCTAATGAGATATAACGGATAATAACATACAGATTGTTATTGTTGAGTAGTTAATTTGTCCTGACGCGAAGGAGGAAATCAGAAGACTACCGTGTTCACTAAGATACCTGTATTTCCCAAATAGGGAAAATTAACTTTCACACATGAGTCTGAGTGGAGGAGTACTGAAGCACGAAAATGTGAATTAACTGTACAATACAAGAGTATATGGAAAATGACTAACATACATGAACCAATAAGAGAGACAGTAGTTTTTCTTACCACCACTGGCTTCTGATTGGTTGTAATGTCATGTGATAAAAGGTCATACATTGTTTATTTAGTTAATGGACAGACAAAGCATATTGTGAGTTATAAGGGAATAACGATCAGTACACATAAAGCAAAATATACCAGACCGTTAAAACAAAGTAGACACCATGCGACTACATATAAGAGTCCTAGTGAGAAGTCATGATCAGCGGGATCTAGCAAGTTGGATGTGAAGACAAATCTTTGCCTGTGACATTGGCTGGTGGTCACGCTTAAATCATGTAACTGACAGAAGTTAGAATTCCTGGGAAACTGGATTCCATCCCAGTGGCTGAATAGTTTACGAGCTTGCCTTGTAACTAGAAGGTCCTGGACTCGAAGCCCAGGGAGTGGATGTGCACCTATAAAAGAGTCCCGAACTAGGACGAAGCATCCGTCCAATATTCCCTGTTAGTTTTCAATGTTCCTCAAGCTTACATTTTCCAATAGTGTTAATAAAATGGAAGAGTAGCACTCTGTTTCCTTACATCATGTGATTTGCCTGTGTGTGTGTACCTGTGCATTAAAACTTATTTCTACTACAAACTCTTCCCTCGTTGTTTCCATTCATTTCAATCGTGTTTTTTGTACTTTACACTGTGTTACGTAACAAGGGGTATGTATAATTTCTTTGGTTGTTGTTGTTGTTGTTTTTGCATTTATGATTAAATCATATATGAGATAATAAGGCCTATAGAAAGAAGAATAGTTGTTAGCATACACGACCTAAAAACATTTGACTAATTTAATGTGTGCGCGTCTGTATGTGTGTGTGAGAGACTTATTGTGCAAATTTACAATATTTATCCTAATTGGACTATGTCATGCCTCTTCTTTCACTTAAATCATGTTCAACTCCATTTCTGTTCGCGTCTCGTTTCTTCTTCTTCTTCTTCTTCATAAGTAGCCATATGCATCCATTAATACTTTGTTATTGGTAAAAAATGTGTTAACACTTTGTAAGGAAGGAAGGAAGGAGGATACAACATACACCTTTTTTTTACTTAGGCTAACACTTTTAATAGAAGTGAGAGATAAAATTTCAATGTACTACAGGTGTGAAAATAAGAATCTGTACAATGAAGAAATGTAACATGAGCAGCTGCTTTCGATTTACTGATCCATTTAGGTAAATAAAATACGACGTGACTATCTAAACTGATGATGTTAGTTCTGTGCTTCGAATTGAAATTGATCGAATCCCCTGTAAAGGAAAACTTGAAAACTAATCTACTAGTTAGCTGTTTCGTCGTAGTTTGGGACTCTTCAGTAGTACGCACCCATCGTCATGGTTGGAACCCAGGACCTTTTGGTTACAGGGCGAGCTAGCTCGTAGACTGTTGAGCCACTGGGACCCGATCCAATGGTCCATGAATTCTAACTTCTGCCGATGCTCGACATCAGGCGATGATTTCTCTATGTCTTCTTCGATAAGTTATTGCCTCATCTTCGACCTGCTGTAGTCTACTGGTCACGGCTTCTCACTAGAACCTCGGGTTAACTGACTGAATAGGGCCAGTCACTTGTAACCTGAAGGTCCTGGTTTTGAACCACGGTGGGTGCGTACTGATAAAGACTTTCAAACTAGATTGACGAAACAGCTGTCCAGTACTCCTTTCTGGTTGCCTAATGGTACTCTTAGTGATGTCAGCTCATGATGAAATCCTCCATGGGATCAAACACAAAGTGCCTATAAAACCAATACTTGACAATTAATCTACTAGTCAAGGCTCGGGTTTGGTAGTCGCTGTATGCATTTTCAATTGGTAGAAGTTGGAATTCATTGACGAGCTATTTGGTTCTCTCTTTCGTTGTCGCTAAATGGTCGAAGGGCTCGCGGTATAACCGGAAGTTTCTGAGTCCTATCCCTGACGTTGGAGTGGTTTATATTTACTGCTAAAGACTCCCAAACAAGGAGAAAATAGCTGTCCAGTACTCCCTACTGGTTTTTGTATTGGTTCTCGAAGTGATCAAACTTGTGACTAGGGTTTATTTCTCACCAACAGCATCATTGTTTCAGTCAGTGGTCACCACAGGTAATGCTCATCTACACCATGTAAATGAATGATACTTGGTTGTTTGTTTGTGATTATTTTGAGAGCGCGGATGATGATTGTCAACAAAGGAGAAACGTAGTGCAGGACTTCCCTCACATAGTCTCCGATCATTCAGCACCTTTCCACTGAAACTCGAACTTAGTGCTCATGACTTCAAATACCGAAGCTTTGTCTTTTGGGTCATTGAGTTTCCCTGATAACACCATCACTCAATGACATTGCTGGAACCTCCAACTGAAGAGTTACGAATAGGACGAAATGCAAGTTTTGCATTCTACGAAACAAGTTACATAGAATATAAAATAGTGTGTATATTCGTGAAATGTTAATGTAGATATCATCACGAATCGTCATTGGTTAGAGAGATCATTATAAACCATGGAGCGCCGTAGAACTGTTTCATCCTGGCTTTTAACTTAGTCATTTAGTGATATTGCACCACCGCCAAACCAGTGTCTCCCATGAGTATCCACTTCACCTTGATATGATGGACTCCACTGGCTACGAATTGACAAAGTTAGAATTCACGGGTCATTAAATTCTGGTCCCAGTAGCTGAATAGTCAACAATCTTGGTCTCTTAACCTGAAGCTCCTGTATTCTATCTCCAGTGAGATTCTGGGTGCACACTACAGAATAGTCTCAAAGCTATGATGAAACAGCTGTCTAGTGTTCCCTGGTCTCGAATGTTTGTCCTACTGATGATGTTGTCTCGTGACACGAAATCTCTACTGAAATTGATCGAAACCCCCTACAAAAACCCTTAATTAATTGTTCTCTTTTATTTTATTTTTTTTAGCAACTTGTCACACTGCTGCTTATTCGACAAATGTTTGATACAATTAAAGAAGTCTTTCTACCCTATGGTCAATCACGTTTACGTCAAGTGTGGTTGTCGTTAAGATACGAACAGAAACGTTTAGCTCAAAAGAATACAACATTGACACCGGAATTAAATGATTCAACATCATCGTCATTGTTACAGGCAACAGAGAATAATACAGGTGGCATTTGCGATGATGATGATCAATGTGCAATGGTGTCTAAACCCATTGATCAAAATGAGAATAATAATAATGAAAATGATAATATTGATCCAGAAATGCTTATACATCAAAGAAGCGTTCCAGTAAATAAAGAGCATAAAAAAATAACTGCATATTCAGCAAAATCATTCGGTAAGAAATCTTTTTTTTTTTGTCTTTTGAAAATGGCATCTGACAAAGGTGTTTGAGCAGAATAAGAAAGGGTAATATCATTTTTATTTTGTCGGCTTCTTGTCAGTCGTAAAGATAACATGATATCAGTTAACAGAAACCTTTAAAAATAACAAAAATATGTTCGGAAGTGATATTTATGTAACCTAACCCAAGACGGTTCAAGTTATTATGTCTAGAAAATCTGGTACCATGAAACTACATATCATTCTGTTTATTGGATATACTATCAAGCATTTTTAACAGGGTTTTGAGTTAACATCAGTTAGAAAACCTGGGAGTGCTGCTGGACAGCCGCTTCGTCCTAGATTGCGACTCATCGGCGGTACTCATCCACCTGGTTTCGCATTCACAGCCTTCAGTTAACAGTGCAGGCTAGTAAATCATTCAACCAGAAGGTCCTGGATTTGGAACCCGGTAGGTGCGTGCTGCAGATGAGCCTCAAACTATGACGAAACAGCTGTCCAGTATTCCCAGGTTTTCTAATAGTTATCCAACTGATACCAGTCTAAGATCAAACTTGCAGTAAATCTAACGTGTAGCCGTCTTTTTGTTCACCTAGTGTAACTGCATCCTCTTTTTTTTCTTACACGTTGCCAGTGGAACATAGGGCCTCGAGGTAGAGGCCTTTAGCAGTGTTTAATTTTACAGGATGGGGTTGCTAGCCTCATGCTCAACCTTTCATCTTTACTTCTGGTTTGGCAAGGTAAAGGAGTGCGTCGGCCGAGAATCGAACCATGAGCTAGGTTGGCAAGCGTCCTAACCGCTGTACCCCTGACGCCTACTGCCTGCTCTGATACATGCAAATTCGTATACACAGTTAGAGTTAACACTGGAAGGCGATCTGTCAACCTTTGGTTCGACTAAAGAGCGTGTTGTTCGATTAACTGTACATTTCAAGTTCTTGTGAACAAAATTAAAAACAGAAAGCACTAGAGAGTTGTTCTTTGCAGTCTTCACCAATCGCTCCACTGAGGATCGAACTCAAGATTCTTAGACTTATGGTTCTGGGTCGAGGATTAAAGTAATTTCATGGTTTCGCTGCACATTGTACAGCGAACAGCGCAACCCCCATATTTCACTTATGCAGACAGTAGATAAAATACCTTTGAAACAGCTAAATGTAACATTTGAAATGATTATAATATTCCTTTAAACAGGTAATACAGCATAGCTCGAGACCCTATGCAATACCATCTACTTAAGGAGATTCGAAATTGCAATTGACCGCCTTTTTTTCCAAACCTGTCAACGAAACCGAAGTCAAGGGAGAAGTAATCTCACGCGTTTCAAAGGCATTTTATCAATTTTTCTATACGGCAGGAATATATGTTGTCCGGTTCACTGCACTATTTGCAAGCATAGCTTAAATTTGCTTTTATATTCACCCGAAATTTGGAGATATTTGGGTTTTGTGATTTATAATAACCAAGTGTTCGTTTTCAGGGATTTGATTGGTTATAGGATTGAATACAAGCCGATATCAGTTAGAGAACCATTCCAGTGAGAAGTGGTAACCAGCAGCGTCCTCCAAGCCAACCAATTCATGGACATTTAAGTCGGGTGCCAGTGCGTGAATGATCAATGAGCTCTGCCTGTAACTGGAAGGTCGTGGGTTCGAACCCCAGTGGTTGCGTACTGATGAGGAGTCTCATTTACTACGATGTTTATTAAGTCACGAACTTGGTACATAGGCTTCAAAAGATAAGCCACACAAAATCTCATCGTTTGTGCGTGGGCTGGGATACTTTCCGGTTTTCCCGACCAAAAACTAGATGGTTGTCTTAATGAGCCTCCGCCTCCAACTTTTGACTTAAGGTCTGATCTACAACGTAAGGAGCTATGTTCCCATGTTTACCGGTGACCAAAACAGGTTTATACACCATTTGGTGCTTTGGGATTCTGAAGTCCGTGTACACCATAGTTTTAGAATCAGGGTTTTCTAGTCCTCCTAGTTTGATCTATCTATCTATCTACCAATCCGGTTGTAGGTTCCAGACGTTTGCACTCGCTCTTTTACTTTTGTGAGAAACACTATATAAGAGCACTTGTAGAGGAAAACTGAAGTCTACCCATCATTGGCTGTACCGGATCATTTATGGAGGCACAAAATACAAAAAAAATTACAAGGAAATTAAGAAAATCAATTCAAAGGACTTTTAATGACGGCGAACTACACGTATTATTCTCTACACGACCGATGGTGCTACCTCGACTGAAAGATGAAGTACCTAGACTAGCTGGCCACTTCAAATTGCATCTACCAATTCAACTGCGCTTGTACTGGAGAGAGTTATATTGGCCGTTGCTCTAGGAACTTGATTTTTCGCGCTCAAGAACATATCCCACTATGACTAAGTAAAGATGTAGTTAAAACCATTAACAGTTCGATATTGAACCATCTGGTGCAAACCGACCGGCCACAAAGCCAGCCAGCGTGGAAGAATCCTTCTCTATAATCTACCGGGTGGATGGCTAATAAATTGCCAAAATCATCGAAGCACCGCATGCTTCAAACAGCACAGGCTATTGCAATTCGCCGCCTCAAACAACCAGTGCACTGTGTTCAAAATAAGCAAGTCCAGCCTCTACTACTGCTCTGGCCGGCCTTCAATAGAGACTATAAATTTATGAGTTTGTAATATTATCTTTCCTAGCGATTTTTCTGACATTCAGCTTATTTTATGTTGATGCTATTGAGTTGTAATCTATGAATATTATAGATTAGATGTTATTTAAACAACATTAATGTTGTTGATAACACTAATTCATTCATTCACTATATTGGATGGATATATAACTGTAGAGCCTGATGATGAAGAGGTTATCAAAAAGAGTATTCTTTGTTCAGTATCTATTCTTTTAAAAACAAAATTCCATTTTCGAATCCATTGAAACAAACGTTTATTATTTTAACGTCTTTCAATTCTTTAGATAATCCAGAGGAAACAAAAATAGCCGCAGCTGAAAGGGAAGCGACTCTATTACGAGTAAGTAATGCATTTCAAATGGGGGGGGGGTTTAGTGTTCAAATGAAAATTAAAATTTTTTTCACAGTAATTTATTTGTTTGATCTCAAATGAAGGATAAGCTTGATAATTTTGTCACACCTGAATGTGCTCGTTAATTGAACTGCTCCTGTGTAGACAATTGTGTCGCATGTACTGCTACCCCACAGGTTGTTAGCCAACGTGTCATTGAACATCTCTCACCTTCGTTTGGCAAAGGAAATATGAAAGCCATCAGAAGCTGTATTCTGACGCGTTTAGTTGATAGTGTTTATCTAGGGAACAAAACAAAAGCAACTAAGGTGATTGATCGCATTCCAGTGAATCTTTCCTATGGTCTGTGTATTCATCTAATGCCATATAGCTAAGGCGATTGGTGTTCAAAGTATTGAATCTAAACTGTACATTCAGAAGAAGTTTGTACAGCCGTTACTCGTAACTTGGTCAGCTAAGACAACCGAACGACGTTACATCCAACATCCTTGATATACTTGTAATCTCTTTCTTAATAAGTTCTCCTTAATTTTATGAAATTTTCATTAAAACTAAGTTTATTTGCTTACCTTACAATTTACCATAACTTAATATAGCAACTGCTTCGCTGCTAAAGGGTGACACCGACAATCATACTTCTCATCCAACAATTGTACGACAATGCTGCATGCCAAGTAATCCACAACGGGAAACTTACGGAATCCTTAGAAGAAGTAAAGACGGGAGTACGACAAGCTGGCTGCCTATTATCGACAGTGATTTTCCTGATTGCAGTAGACTGGATAATGTGACAGACAGCGGGAAGTGAGGAATAAGGCATAAAATGGACCCACACAAAAAACTTGGAGGATCTGGACTTCGCCCGTGATGATATATGTCTGATTTCCCACAAACTGGAAGATATGCAAATGAAAAGCAACAAGCTGGCAGAAGAAGCATCCCGAGAAGATAGGCCTTCAGGTTAACATTGAGAAAACAGAGGTGATAAGGATCCCTGACCAACACCAACAGACAACAATCAGCCAGCATAAATGGGAGGAACCTGGAAGAAACAACCTCCTTTACCTACCTACCTACCTACCTGGGAAGCATCGTCTCAACTACAGGTGGACGGAACTGACGAGGATATCAAAGCGAGGATCGGGAAAGCGAGGCAAGCTTTCATTTCTGTCAAGTCTGTGTGGAGGTCAACAGCACTATGCATCAAAAATAACATCCGGATTTTCAACTCCAATGTGAAGCGAGTCAGTGCTACTTTATCGATCAAAGACTTGGCCAGTGCGTCATAAAGAGCACCTCAAACAAACTACAGACCTTCATCAACATCTGTCTTCGCTCAATACTCAAGATCAGATGGCCGGCCAGAAAAGATCAACGACAGGGATCTCTGGCGATGAGGGAATCAACACAGCAGGAACCGATTGCGCAACAAATAAGCAGGAAGAAATGGAGATGGATTGGCTGGCCATTCTCTGAGAAATAAAACCATCAAGTGACATCACACGCCAGAGCATCGCTCGAGTGGAACCCGAAAGGGAAGCGGCGAGTTGGTCGTCAGTGCAAGGGTGACTTGGTGGAGGTCATGTGTAGAGGAGATGAAAGCATGTGGATACACATGGAGCCAGGTGAAAACTTTAGCAGAGAACCGAACGCAATGGAGACGTGGGGCTGAAGCTCTATGTTCCTCTAGGAATTAAAGGAAATAATAATAATATTACTGTCTACAAGGTCTATCTGACTGTTTGTTTACATAATCATGCTACCTTTCAGTATCCCTGTTATCACAAATTGCTGCACTTTCTCATCTTTGTTATCAATGGAATTATTATTATTATGAATAATTGCACAGTTTTATAACTGTGTTGATAAGTCACCATGAAAATATTGTTAATTTTCTCACTCAACAAGATACTTCACTTGATCTTGTACTTATAATTGACTCCGCAATATATAAGAAGCTCGTAAAAGAGCCCCACTGTTTAACTCTGATCATTGTATTGTATTGGGTTTTGCCCAAAATTTATGCAAAGTTAAACAAGACAGCCTTCTCATACCTCTCCAAGAAAATTGTGTGTACAGATGGGACTCTAAGAAGAATGTACAGAATCTTAGGATCATGCTCGAAGACACTAGGTGGGATTTGTCCAGCGAAGCGGCTCTTGATGACACTATCTCAAATATTACATATTATCTCAAATTCTGTCTTGACATCTGTTTTATTCTCAGAGAAACTCTTTTCATCAGATTTGACCGTTTCCCCCCTCCTCTCAACTTAAAAAGCTTCTCAGGGAGAAGTAAAAGTTATATAAAATGAAGGATAACAATGGTATGGTCTAAAATGCAGAGCATTGACTGATGACGTTTCGAGCACAAGCTATTGCTCACAATCCTATCAAGTTACTCACACAGCTTTTTCCCTTCATTTATGTCCATGTGTGGTACAATTAAAATACATAAGCCAGGTTACCTCATACGACCAATGGTAGATTTCAGAAATACCCCCTACTTATGAATTATCAAAACACCTAGCTCTAATATTATGCCCCATTAGAAATCGTTCGGTGCGTCGGTGGCACAGTGGTTAGGACGCTCATCAACCGTGCTCATGGTCCGGGGTTCAATCCCCGGCCAACAGACGCACTCCTTTACATCGCTCAGCTGGGAATAATGCTGGTAAAGAGGAAAGGTTGGGCATGAGGCTAGCAACCCCATCCTGTAAAATAAACACTGCTACAGAAACTTCAAGCCACTGGCTTGATGCCCTATGTTCCAATGGGGGAATGTGAAGGAAAAAAAATATTTGGCACGTATTTTATGTGATAACATTATTGTCAGGCATGAACTAACTCAACTTCTTTCCACTAGTAAATAAATAATTTTCTCTAACCTTATACCATCAAGCTTTTTACTGTGATTGTTATACTTGTATCCTGATCGATAGCTGCTACCTTGACATGGTGGTCGGGCTTGCATATCTCGATGACCCAACAAGCTGCACTGGCTGGGACCAAAGATCCTGAAGGTCCTACTATGCTAGGAAGGTTGTTAGAATAGCGATTAGACTAAAAACAGTTACCAAGATTGTGTAAGAATTTTTTACACTATGCTGGAGGGTCTGTGGGCGAAGTCGTACTGATGGGGAACAGGGATGTAACAGCAGTAAAGTGTTTCCCAGCATGCCAGCTATGCTGTCTCTCCACTCTGGACGGAGGAGTTTAGAAAAGGTCGATCCCAACAATTGTACATCCCGACTTACCCTATGGTGGTCCGTAACCGGGGGTGAATTCACTAATACAGAACCAAACCCAAAAACCAGTTCATACAGGCTGTGTGACCGGCTCAAGCGAGTTGTCATCTGAAGTGGTAACAAATAGTGGTGTCCGTCAGGATGCCCACTATCCCCATTTCTATTCAATTTCATCATAGACATATTAATGGACTTAACCCTAACTGATGACTTCAGCGACTCGGGGATTGACTTGTTACGAGGGAATAATCTCGTTGATTTAGAATATGCAGATTATGTAGTCCTGCCACCTGGGTGAAGACGCTGGCAAAATGTAGAGTCTTCTGAACACGTTGAGCTGCATTCTGTGATTGGCTACAGAACTAGACTGGACTACTTACTTTGCCTTACTTTGCAAATCTCACTCTCCATATCATCGCTATCGGTTACAATGTTTCTAGCCCTATTTAAGGAATTCAAAAGCTACTGAAACATTCATGCTTATTGAATGCTCGGTTAGTAAATTCAAATATTCGTTTGAATATGCCAGTTTCCTATATATTGTGGACTTGAGTTTCCCATCAGTTTGTCTTTTGACAAGATAATCGAGAAATTTTTTGTCTGTCTGTTAGTTTTCGACATTGAACTTTGCATCGATGCGCAGCAGTTGAAGTCGCCACACTCCATATACTACCACACAAAGAAAGAGAAGAAAGTAGAAGAAATGCATAATACAGATAGTAAGCAGAGATGTGAGACAAAGGAATAGTGATAACAAAGAACAATATAGTTTCATTGGAAATCATAAGTCACAAGGAGTGGATCCATCTGCGCTGGCCATTGAGAACGATCACTTTGAGCCAAGTCACCAGTTGTTTCCAACCATTGGTTTTTACCGTCCTGAGGACCCCGACCATCCAAGAAGTCTACACCTTTCTACATGGCTGGCTGGCTTAAACTAACTGTTGTGGATTTCATTGACTGGTGAAGCCATGCTTTTTTTTGGCCGCTACTAGCTCTTTTCCAGCCTGACCCTATATCAGCTAACATTGCCCATTGTCGAGGAAGGCGATGACTAGGCATACGTAACACATGTCCTAACCATCTCAGTCGATGTAATTTCACAGCCTCGTCAATTGATTTCTCCTCCTTACCTAGCACTCGACCTGTGCCTAACCTCAATATTGCTCACCTTATTATACTACTTGACATGGGAAATAGAACGCAGGCACCTATGATCAAAGATAGCTAGTCAGGCTTTTCATGTCTTCCACTCTCAATGGCCAGCTCTTACAGCCATAAAGGAGGACGGGGCGGACTGATGAGCAGTTCACCCGCCCTTTGGTCGATAGCCAGTCGGATATCGCGTCTACGCCAGAGACAGAAAGTTTAGAGTTCGATCATAGGATTCGATTTCACCGGTAAATTTTATACAATTTAAAACGGAGTTTATGTGTTTTGTATGCAGTCTACTTGTGAAATAATATCATCTAAAGTAGCAGCTACTGATCTACTAAGTTGCAATCACACTGTCTCTACTGTTGCGTAATATTTTCCTGACGTGTTTCGTTTATTTTTATAAATGGAATACTAATCATTGTTGTAGGAACCTTTGTATAAAAAACTGATATTTTTTGTTACCTTCATCATTCTCTCATATTTATACATACATATAGTATGAAGATCCAACTGATGATTTTCTCGAAATGTTTATACAATTTGGTTATGTGAGTATGTTTGCTGGTATATTCCCATTAGCTGGTTTGTTGGCTTTTGTGAATAATCTCATCGAGATACGCGGTGATGCCTACAAATTATCGACTAGTTATCAACGTCCATTTGCTAAATTCGCTAGTAATATTGGTGTTTGGCAAGTAAGTTCCAGCATATGTCTAATATATGATGTTTTTTTTAAGACTTTACTTATGTATATAACTCTTGGTGTAATTTAATTGATGGTGTGTATCAGTGGATGATTTATGTTTGATGTCACACAAAATAGAAGACTTACAAGCGAAAACCTATAAACTGGTCGAAGAAGCAGCTAGCGAAGACAGGACTCCAGGTGAACATAGACAAGACGGAGGTTATGAAAATAACCGACGACCACCACCATCAACAACAACAGCAGCAACATCCAGCGTCGATCATCATCAACGGGGGGGGGATTTGAAAGAGGTCACTTCATTCATTCACTTATCTAGGGAGCATTGTCTCAACTACAGGTAGTTGGAAAGGACGAGGATGTCAAATCGAGGGAGAATCGGAAAGGTGAGAAACACATTCATCAACCTGAAATCAATCTGGAAATCTTCGTCACTCAGCATCAACAACAAAATTCAGTCGGATTTTCAATACAAACACCGTCAAGTCAGTCAGTTCTTCTATACGGATCAGAAACTTGGCGGGAGGGTCACAAAGAATATTTCCAACAGCCTGTTGCAGACCTTTATCAACCAACAACTGTCTTCGCTGGCTTTATACTGAAGATCAGATGGCCGGGCCGGAAAGAATCACCAACAACAAGAAACTATGGGAAGAAACAAAACAAGAACCAATCGGCCGAAAAATATACAAGAGAAAGTGGAGATGGATTGGACACTCGCCGAGAAGGCCTCTGGGTGACATCGCGCGCGCGTCAGGCCATTGCTCGAGTGGAACGAGGCCGAAAGGGAAGCGGCGAGTGTGTCGTCAGTACAAGTGTGACATGTAGGAGATCGTGTGAAGAGGAGTTGAAATAGTATGGACTAACGTGGATGCAGGTGAAAAGTACAGCAGAAGACAGAAGCAAGTGGAGACGTGCAGTTTTATCCCTATGTTCCACTAGGAACCCAAGGGAACAATTATAATAATCAGTGGAATCCAGAAGCACGTTTCATCTTCATTCAGAACTGGATATTGAAGCATGCATCGTATTGTACTTGTGAATCATACATTCATTTCTTCTGAAGTCAATGTCTTCATTCATGATGATGAACTTTATTCCGAATGAAAAGTCAACTAGGAAGTTCGTAGTATTAATAATAGCAGTATGGTACACACTACTTATAGACTGATATGAGTAACGTATAGAATGTCTCCGTAGAAGAAATAGTAATTTATGCAGGAATTGAAATTATGCAATCAATGTAAAGTTTTGAGTTTTCTTAGTGTCACCTGTATAAATTCTCAAGGAGTCGCCGACCTATATCTATCCAACACAATGCACCGTGTTTTATTTAATTCCTATTGTTTAGAACATTCAGTTATGCCCTTGAGTCGCTAAATATACTCACACACATTTTTAATTGACGTTTAAACTACCCGCGGTGTGCACTATATGTGTCCAAATCCGGTTCACTTTTAACATTTTGAAAAATTTTGGGCGTTGGGTATATGATGTTCATTGCTATAAAAGATTTTGTATTTCCCTATGAATGAAAAACATAACGATATTGTGTTTACCGACGTTTCTCTATTTACTGCTAATGACTTTCTTACGAGTTGATCATGGATTGGTATCAGTTAGAGAACCATTGAAAACCAGGGAGTACTGAACAGCTGTTTCATCCTAGTTTGGGAATCATCGGAAGTACGCACTCACAACCAAGGTTCGAACCCATGACCTCCCGGTTACAAGGCAAGCTGCCTCGTATACCATTCAGCCACTGGGACCCGTTTCAATGGCTCGTGAATTCTAACTTCTACCAATTCGTGATTTAGCGCAACCCCAGCCATTGTCGTTGGTGGGACATCCATCCTCACACGTGACATTTGGATGGACCTCACTGGTCATGACTTCTCACTAGAACTCCAGGAAACTCCATCCTGTAGCAAGTCACTAGCGAGCATCAGATTAATTTTCTAAAAATATACGAGCTTGCTTTGTAACCGGAAGGTCCTGGGTTCGAACCCTTGTGGTGGGTGCGTACTGGCAATGATTCCCAAACTAGGATGAAACAGCTGGCTGTTCACTACTCTCTGGTTTTCAATGGTTCTCTAACTGATATCAATCCGCGATCAACTCGTAAAAAACAAAACTAACCCTTACAAACCGAACTCTAGAAAGCCAATGACTTTATCAAAGTATTATTAAACCAGAATTTACAAAATCTCAGCATATATATAACAACCTAATCATTGTTCATCAGCATGGGGTAATTTTTAAGTTGTCAATAAGTAAAGATAATAAAACAACCATGTGTAGATTGTTGGATTTGATAGTCATCTAATTTAATTATAAAAGCAGCGTGTGTTTACATAAAATGAAATTGCTTATCACAAGTGTGTTATCATTTTGTCATTTCATGAGACAGAGAGAGAGAAGTGTTGTAACCAGGTTGATCATTCCTGTGTCAGGCGATTTAGATTCCACTCGATATGAAGTACTTCCGATGATACGATGCGTTCTTTGTGATCTCTGAAATGCTTTTTCTGGGTGATGATTTCGATATTGTCAAAATCACTTTGGTGACCTGATTCTATAGCCTGTAGACGAGAGCTATGGCTGATGCGTTTTCAAGCTTTTCTAGTTCAGTTGGATTTATTGGTGGTCGAACAGAGGCGGCTCTACGGTGTTCATTTCTTCTGATCTTGATTTCTCGGTGTGCATATCTTAGAGACGGAAGAAACATGCTATAAGGGATAGTGTATGCTCTTCACACCGAACAGCATGGCATCAGGTGATACACTATAGATGGAAGAAGATCCAAGGGAGTTTCGTTTTAATTACAGGCAGTACAGATGGAATTATATCAAAGACAGGGTCAGAAAAGCAAGACAAGCGTTTATTACTCTGAAATAAGTGTAGAAATCTATTGTATCGAGCATAAGGAAAAAGATCCGAATTTTCAACATCAGTGTAAAATCAGTTAGTCACCTGAAGCATTTCCAACAGGCTTCTCCAGAATTTCATCAGCAGCTACTTTCGCCGGCTCCTTACTGAAGATCAGATGGTCTGAAAGGTTAAGAAACATAGAAATCTGGCAACTAGCCAACGAAGAACCTATTTTCTAACGAATATGCTGAATAAAATGGAGATGGCTACAGGGTTTCATCATGAACTGACATTGGTTAGAGAACCATTGGAAAACCCGGGATATCTAGGACCTTCTGGTTACAAGGCGAGCTCGTAGACCATTGAGCTACTGAGACCCGATCCAATGGCTTGTCCATGAATTCTAACTCCTGCCCATTCGCGAAATAGCGTGACCACTAGCCAATGTCTTCGTAGAGTATTTGTTCTCACACCCGACCTGTTGTACCCTACCGGTCATGGGTTCGTACTGATGAAGAGTCCCAAACCAGGACGAAACAGTTGTCCAGTACTCCCAGGTTTTCCAATGGTCCTCTAACCAATTTCAGCTCATGATGAAACCCTGTAAGCAATCAAATCCCTACAAACCAACATTTAAAATGGAGATGGATTGCACACCTATTGAATGACATCACACACACACCAGACCTTAGATTGAACAGCTAAACCGTAAAAGACGAGTTGGGTGTGGCTTCAAGGTTGATGTGGAAGAGATAGTGTGAAGAGGAAATCAAAGCTTGCCGAAAACCGCGGAAGTAGCTGAAAAGGACTTCAGATAACACAGTGAAACACAAATGTACTACCGAAGCCTTATGCTCCACTCGAAATCCAAAAAAATGACAATACAGTGTGGTGTAGTGTAATAATAAAAGTCTAACAATATACTGAAGATTATTTGTTTACCGCCTTTAATCTCTCTCGAATTGGAGCGAAATAGAAATTTTGTTTCCTCCGACAGTTGGGTGTGTAGTTTATTTTCAGTTTACTTCTTTCCATACGTCAAAGTGAATTTCTTCTGATAACTAATGCCTCCGAGATACACTCAGTTCTCCTTGTAACTTTTTGTGTGAACATATTTTCTCATCAGACTCCTGTGTATAGTGTCCTCACTAGTCAACACTTATCACAGAAAAGATAAGACTATTGTAATGAAGTTATGGTTCATTGTAGAATTATTTTTCTGTTTAGATAGTCTACTTGATGGTGCCACCATTTGGCTCCTCTCACGTTGAGAACCGGAATGTTAAACTCCTTATTTCCCTGATATTTTATAAAAACGACCAGCTCTGAAGATGTTGTCGAGGGAGACAATTAAACCATCCAGAATCAGAGAACACAACTACTACACCACCATCATCTAACTGAACCACAAATCTTCTACATTACTTTCAACACTATTCAGTTACCTAGTAGTTTCGATGTTCCAAAGGCTCACTTATTAATCTCTGCTTTAAACATATATATATATATACTGTAAAAATTGATGTTCTTTTCTTAACTTTTGACCTTTTTAGCTTGCACTAGATGTGGTTAGTTATATTGCTGTTATCGTGAATGTAGCATTACTTGGGATTTCGGGAACTGCACAACGCCTCTTTCCAAATCTGTCTACTTCACATTTGATCATATTATTGGTTCTTATTGAAGTAAGTAAGATACACAAAATATAGTCTGGCAATTCATAATAAACTTTTTTTAATTTTAATTCTTAACTTGAATAAAGCAAGAACAATAGTGGTGGTTTGCGCAGAATAACATGGTACCATAATTTATTTCGTTGGCTCCTCATCAGCTACTGCTTACAGCCTAAATAAATTATGAGGTTTATGTACAGAAAAGTTTTAACATACTTGCAAATTTCACATGTTGTCAGTTGACAGAAAGTTCCACAATTAGTGAACAGTGCTCAGAGAATTGTGGTGATATAGTTTTTACACAGGCACTTCAAGTTAAAACAAAATAAATATATGCATACAATGATGGAGGAGTTACGTAATAAAGACGAAATATGCGTTAGATACAGAGTGACTAATAAATTAGGTAACAATGTACTGAGTTGAACTCAAATCATAGAGACAAGAGACAAGCAAAATTATAGATTATAAAAAGAAGGTGAAGTTTAAGACAAAGATTACGTAATCAGATGAGAGAATAAAGACATCCAGTTACCAGGGCAAGGAGAGACTAATAACTGCTTCTTTCTGAACACATAAATCTGATTTCAAGCGTTTGATATTAATTGCTTCGGCAAACTTGAGGAGAATGGAGCTCCTTTGTGTATTGATAATTTTGAAGGACTTCTCGATTTCCACCTCATGACCCGTGTCGAGATGTCTGGTAATTGCGCTACTTTAAGAGTTTGTTCCCTTGAGACGTAGGCTTTTCGGCACATGTTCAGAAAATCGGAGGTGTGCCCTTCTTTCTGTTCTCCCAATATAACTGCTCTCGCAGATACACGTAAATTTGTATACACAGTTGGAGTTAACATGAGAAGGGTATCTATTGACTTTCGATGGACGGGAACCAACTTAGCTGCAGGATAGGTTCTGGCTAGTGACGTTCTCAGTCTTCTGTTGACCATTTCTGCAGTGTTTTCACCTTTAAAATCTAGTTGAATGAAGACAGGCTTTTTTTTCAACTGTGATTTGTTTGGTATTTGAGCCTTCACGTCTTCCATATTTGTTAGTGAATCTTTGAGAATAACTGTCGTTCTTCAGCCCCTTTTCGAGAATCGTAAATTCTTCCTCTGCATATTCTCCTCGCTCTGTAGTACAGAGTCTTGACTAGTGCTCGTTTATAGCTATTTGCACAAAAACTATTAAAATGTCAGTATTGTCTATTCCATGTGGGCTTTCACCCCCTTTTATAATCTTCAATTTTGCTTGTCTCTTGTCTCTATGATTTGAGTTCAACTCAGTACATTGTTACCTAATTTATTAGTCACTCTGTATCTAACACATATTTCGTCTTTATTACGTAACTCCTCCATCATTGTATGCATATATTTATTTTGTTTTAACTTGAAGTGCCTGTGTAAAAACTATATCACCACAATTCTCTGAGCACTGTTCACTAATTGTGGAACTTTCTGTCAACTGACAACATGTGAAATTTGCAAGTATGTTAAAACTTTTCTGTACATAAACCTCATAATTTATTTAGGCTGTAAGCAGTAGCTGATGAGAAGCCAACGAAATAGACAAATGATGATACCATATTATTCTGCACAAACCACCACTATTGTTCTTGCTTTATTCAAATTCATCAAGGGGAACAAATGCATGGAGTTATTCTAAACTGACTGTGACTAACTTTCAACACAGAACCTTGCACAGAAGTTCAGTTCGCTACCCTCCATGTGTTGTAGCACACAAAGGCAGAGAAAAGAACGAGAGAAAATAGGGAAATTCAAAAGAACTATAATAAGTAGAAATGCTGAAGGGAGTAAGAATTGTAACGTGGAAAAACAATTTAAGCTTAATTGATCTGGGAGATTACATAGAATCAGTGGATCTCAGTCATTGAAAAGAATTTTGAGCCATTTCATTCACCAGTAGTAGTCTCAAGCCAGTTTCCCCCCCCCCACCCATATCTTGAGGAGCCCACCCAACCAGGCATTCTAAATATCCCTACATGGCTCAAGCCAACAATCAAAGACTTCATGGATTGGTTGCAGGCTTTTGGTTTGATCACCCTTATTTAACCCTTTCGCATCCTAATCCAATGTAAGCTTGTCGAAAGAGGTGGTGGTTTAGTATGCACAACACACATGTCCTAACCATTTCAAATGTTGTAGCTTCACAACTTCCCCTCCTTACTTAACACTCTACGCCTACTCTCGGTATTGTTCACCATATTATACCACTTAACATCGGACATAGAATGCAGCATGTATAAAGCAAAAATAACTAGAATAAATTAGTTCCATATTAGTTTGTTTATTAGGTGTATCACACAGTGAAACAGTATTATCTACTGGATGACACAGTTTCGAACAAAATTTATTGCTGTTCATAATCAGTGCATCAATTATAATCACACGACTTCGAAACTTGAGTTTTATAGTTTCCTTTGTTCTCTCCTATTTGTCGTAGGGGCAGTAGAATTTTCCAGATATCTGGGACAGGTGTTGAATCATTCTTATTACATGTATTTGTAGTTGACTCGATAAACAAAGTTGCCGCTGTCGTCAATCTTTCCCGTCACCCTGTGACATTAGATATTAAAACTCTCATCTTATCCCATCTTGTTGTATGGTTGTGTGTGATTGCATGTAATGAGTGGGAGAGTTGAACTATTCTCTAGATTTCTTATCTTATTTGGGTCAACCAGTCTAGATTTTGCTATGTTTTTATGTTCGGCTAGTCTGACTGCCCGTGTTCTACTAGTTTGACCTATGTATTAGACCTGAAAATCATTGCAGACAGGGTATTAGATAAACTAAATTGTTTTGTCGAATTGGCTCCACAGGATTGATCCTTTAACCGACAAAGCTTGTTTCTAATTGAGTTTGTGAGAGGTTTGAATGCTGGCCGCTTTTACTCCTGCCTTGTTAAGAATTCTGTGTAAGGTTTCTGAGGTTCCTTCCTTGTATGGAATTACTACTGATGATTTAGATTCCTTATTGTTGGTGTTGTCTTGCGCACATTTGACTTGCATGTCGTCATTAGTATTATTATCATTATTACCACTATCACTACTATCATTATTTATTTTGTTTTTACATTTTCCCACATACACCCTGACTAATTTATCAGGGTAATTATAAAGTTAGTGGAAAACAAGAAAGTTGTTGCTGGAATAGTCGAAGTGGTTGAATAATTCTCTTTTGTACGCACAACTCCCGTTCCTCTGCCTGAATATGGCCAGAGTTTCTGCAATGCAAAGGAGATAAAAGTGTATTGTCTTCGGTAGCTTATTCTTTGCTTTGTTGGTTACTTTGAAAGCGGGGGGGCGTTTGTTGAGATGGAATGACCAGTGTTGGTTGACAAGGTTTTCGATTATCACTACACTCCTTATAGAGACGCTACTACCTTTCTACATCCACCTTTGATGGTATTCTTGAACCCCTTTAGCCGTGATGGGCGTCGAACGATTAATATATACCCAGTTCCATAGGAAAATGTGAACTGATATATGCACATTGTGTTTCATCTTGAATGTTATCGTCTAATTCCTTGTCAGTAGTAGATTAAATGCCTTTTAGGTTTCAATAAAACCAGGGTATTTAATTGTTTAACTGAAGCCAAAACGATTCACACTATGCGGAGACATTCACTCCTCTGTTACAAATTTTATCTACCTACCAACCGTCAAGTTTACAACACTTCCAATACACTTGAATAAAGCAAGAACAACAATTGTACCAGGATAATATGAGCTTATCTTTTAATATTTAATCGAGGATTCTTCTCAACTGGTTACAACCTGGACGTTAAAAAATATGAATTACATTAAAGATTTGAACATAATTTTCCACGATCACAAGGAGTGATTGATAGGAATTAAAAGTAACATTAGTCCGGAATGATTTAACTGATTAGGAGTTACAAACACTGACTATTTATAGAATAATTAGACAGTTAGGCTTGGAAACAAAAAAAACAGGGTTGCGTATATATGTGCATGTATAGAAAGATTTAGCTAGAAAGAGCATAACAAAAAAGTAGATTACGTAACTAAAGAAAACGTCTTATCTAATACCCAATAAAAAAGGACAGAAAAGAAACGAGATACATGCGGACGTATACTGCTCTTTTGAAACATGCGCGCCTTGTCAAAACAACCCTTTTTAACGATTCCGTTTGTCTGCTTAATCTCACTGTCACCTTTGGAGAATTCAGTGCACCCAATGGTGACACTCTATGTAGACTGATTACATTTTTTTTGAGTGATAATTTTACTTTTGCATTGGGATACTTATGTTTTCGTGTTTTTTAAATCATTTATAAAACATTTATGTAGCGTAAGCAGTTAACACTTTGAGTGTGAAGAGTATTTAGAGTATCAGTTAGTTTGAGTGCTCTGTGGTGTTTGTTTGTTGTTGTTTTTTTACTTATCTGATGTCATTATCATATCATTAATTGACGCGTCATCGCTTTTTGGAGAGCACTTTCGTTTAACTGTATTGCATTGGCAATGTGTTTTTTTTTTGATGATTTTCATTAAGGATAGTAAATTCTTCAGATATGAGAATTTATTGTAGAAATATATTATGTATTTTCGTCTGTTAATTGAACAGACATCTGTACTATTATTATTATTATTCCCTCTAATTCTGGGTAGAATATTGGGCTTCAGTCATTATTATTATTAATTCCTAGAGGAACATAGAGTTTCAACCGAACACCTCCATTGCGTTCGGTTCTCTGCTAAAGTTTTCACCTGGCTCCAAGTCTGTCCACATACTATCATCATTCGGCCTTCACATGACCTCCTCCAAGTCACCCTTGCACTGACGACCAACTCGCCGCTTCCCTTTCGGGTTCCACTCGAGCGATGCTTTGGCGTGTGATGTCACTTGATGGTTTTATTTCTCAGAATATGGCCAACCAATCCATCTCCATTTCTTCCTGCTTATTTGTTGCGCAATCGGTTCCTGCTGTGTTGATTCGCTCATCGCCAGAGATCCCTGTCGTTGATCTTT